TTTATCAGATAAACCCTTGAAAAGTGGAATGTTGTCCCAACCAACTTCTTGACCTTCTATCAGGTAATAGTATATTACTCCTGTACAACCCAGTTGTTCTCTTTGCACTTGTCCTTGCAAGGAAATTCGAGTTTGATTTATATCTATAAACGTTAAATAGGAAGTAAAACAGCCTTTAGATACGGATATATACTCTATAGGTGGATCTGAGGTAGAGCATCAGAAGGATTTCTGGGTGGCGATGGCCTATAACGCATGGATTGCCTGTAACGCATGGTTATCACGATGTTTGCACTGCGATCCCAGTTATAGAAGGGTTAAGGGGTACGTTTACTCAAATGTTACTGAAAGAGGAAAACATTGACGTATTTGGTTAAGACGACCGAAATTTAAGAGTGTACAACTGGAGGGCTTTCTACCTGACATATCACGCGAACAAATTATTGAAAGCCGTGCATAACTTGTATCAATAATAATGATTTTTCACAGTTTTATTCAATCCCAGAAAAAAATAATAATACGAAAAAATCTTGAAAGCAGCCACCGTTATAAACAGAAAACAAAAATAAAAGAATAACACCAACATGTCAACATTATCATAATCCAAAATCACATTCCAGGAATCTAAGGCAAAAAATGAACAAAAGAAAGATTTACACGGAGACTCATAAAAAAGTACAGGGAGAATAAGACCAGGTGTTTCGGAACAATAAACGTCTTCTATTTCATTGACTAGCCATGAAACTTATGTCAATCCAACTAAGTAATGTCACGTTTTTTCAGTGAAACAGGGTACACATCAACGGAACCAACAGGCAAACTGGCGAGCATCAAACATGTCCAGCTTCGTATCGCACAAAGAAACAGATTTTTTTGCCAATGAGATCATTATGGCAACCTTAAAACTTTCCATCACTTTTCATCAACCTGCATCTTTTGAAATCCTGTGTTACGAGTTTGTCAGTCGACGATGTCTTGCACGAAGATTGCGATGATGGGAACAGGCCCTTGAATATCGAATCAACCGCGATACGTAAACACCATAGGTAGCCGTGATATTGTTAAAAAAAAGTACTGGACCTGCACTGATTTTTCTCAAAATTAGTTCCTTTGTTCCTGGCTTTGTTCTCTTGCACAGAAGATGAAATAAGATTTAAATAAAAACACCCTACAATAAAATAGAAAATTGACCTTATTTCCTGTAATAAGACTCAGCTCTCTGCCCCAGGTAGGGTTTGTTGAGACTTAACTACTGTTCTTAGAAAGATCAAGACCGAATAATTATCTAAAATACGTACATGCATGATATTGTTTTAGATTTTAATTTGCCGTTTAGAACCCACTGTCCTCAGGAGGCGTACTTCCTTCATTTACATAACAATGAAAATGTTAGGCCAATAGATAACAAAACGAACTAGATGTAAGATTTATTCATTGGTCATTAAGTTGTCCTGAACGACCTAGGAATAGATAATGCCGTTAAGTCAGACTGTGTAGTAAAGACACACAATTGGATAGCAGCAGTAGATGGGGGCGACTTGGGGAAAAAAATCTATAATCTAGATTGGGGAGGGGGCGGTATTTAATCATCTAATTATACCAACGAGCTGCCATCTTTATTATTATTGTAATGTCATTAAGTATTCTACGTTATGTTGATCTACCACAATTAAGACTCATGCTATCAAGCTTCTGAATATCAATTAAAGTTTGCTTATTTGATAATTGAGAGCTAATGAGTTGGTGTTTTTTTGTTAAAAAGGGCTATATTTAGTCCATGTTAATCGAAATTAATTAATATCCCGTCCCTTCGTATTCCTAAGACACCTGCTTTCAAAAAGCTTCCTTATTGTAAGTGATCTCGTGTTTGTACATTTTTATGCCTCATAGCACTGCACACCTTGTCTCTGACCCCGGACATCGGTATAAATATACAGGTACATTTGTATGATCAGGAAAATAATAATTTACTGATACATACATGATTTGTTTGTCCGTGATGTACCTATATCTTAAATAATCCTATTCATCTCTGGTTATCATGATGACTGACTGCACTACAGACACAAAAGAGGATTGCACCTGTCAAAACAAATTGATATCAAGATACAGCTGAACCAAATCGTCAATTAAACTACATCACACAGTTGTTTGGTTCTTCTAGGACTCGTCAATAATGTTAAGGAAATACTTTTTGGAACTTTGGAGGCGACTGCGGAAAATCAATATTGATTGAAGAAAAAATAGACAGAGACGTACAAAACTGACTTGTAAAATGTTCATAATTTGTCTCAGACGAAATCTGACCTATTGCCTACTCCTGATATCACAGTCTTACACACCAGTGACAATATTTCAACTTACAAATGATGTCATGATTTTGCACTTATGCTTTGGATTTGTTCAAATGTGGTTAGATAGATCATATTTTGAGGTAAAAACAAAATTAGACCACACAAAAATTAGATTCAGACCCGAAACTAAGTTGTCCACACTGTGATATCACAAATCACATCGATATATAAAAAATGAGTAATTAGTAATATCAAAATATTTCTATTATTGTTTTACTCATAGACACTAAAATTGCAATAAATAAAACCATAAAACCAGTAAAACCTGCAGCCAACCTTAACTCACCTAGGTGGTATAAACGCGTGTTTTATGCTACTTTTAATGGAGTGCTATCAACATTTCCTACAGTTAGCCCTATGCCTTTTTTCTTAGATAAAAACTGGCAGTTTATGACGTCTTAAAGATGATGCCTGAAAAGAGAAGAAATGCTTTCAAATCATAATTTACTTTTTGATGTTCGTTATTTTGCCTGTTGGTTCCGTTTTTGCATACCTTGTTCTCGTCTGAGAACCTAAAATTACTTGGATTTATTTTATTTGCATGGCAGGTGTTGCCGATGAAGCAGAAGAAGCTTACACATCCGAAACTCCTGGTCATATATTCTTTGTACTTTTTCGGGAGTCTCCGTCGTGTAAATCTTCCTTCTGTTCATATTTTACCCTCGTTTCAATGAATTAAAGTTTGGATTATATTTGTGTTGTGAAATGGGTATTTGTTTAGTGTATGTGCTCATAAGAGTCCAATTGAATATCTTAGTGTATAAGATCAAAAGAGTTTAGTTTTGATAACCCCACCAAGCCTAAGAACGTTGTGCTTGAGAATATACCTATTCAACGCCACACTGATGACAGAATGGGCTGTGATTTCTGTTCAAAACAAGGAAAATGACGGTACTATTTTTTTAAAGACTAATGCCTGCTTAAAGCATAACATCATAAAACTTGTTAAAAATACGAAATGGTAAATATAATCTTCAATGCAATATTCCTAGCAACAAGAACGTCGAATAAAACACATCCAGCAGTGGTATCACTAAATATCCGGTAAATCAAGATTGAGATGATTTTTGTAAGGCTTCTTAGTGAAGGAGGAAGTACATCATCTTGCTGTTAATTCTGATTCTGATTCACAAGTCCTTGAATGATTTACTTTTGTTCATTTTCCGGTACACATGGATAATGTTTCAGTTATAAAGATCGTATCGAGACTTGTCTTTTTATTTGTGTCCTTAGTACAATCACCTGTTTGTACTATGTGTAAGTGATTATGATATTCGAACCACGAACATTCATTCACCTGTAACTTAAATTTAGATGTATGTATGTGTGTGTGTGTGTGTGTGTGTGTGTGTGTGTGAGTGTGTGTGTTGATACTGATTCGAGGTAACTTGAAGAACTGTCAGAATTTTAATACTTAGTATCATTAACTAGTCATCTTGCACATTGCAGAACATTGATATTTCTTGTTAAGCATTCACATAAATTATCAACATACAATTAATTCATTATCATACACACAATATCTATACAATTTAAAGGTATTTATTCTTAAAGCTAACTAATTTGGAAGATCTACACAATAGAGTAAGTCAATATGCATCGAAGAACCAAACAGTTCTAAGCATTGTCAGCTTAATAACAAACCCCGGAGGTTTTTAATTTTACAATTTTTCAAAACATGGATTATTCTTGGATTTCATATTATCATTTCTGTTCATATTTTTTTTACTATACTTTCAAAATTAATTGATAATAACATACTGCTCTGAAGCTACCGATGCAGTTCCCACTGGATACTGTTTACAAGGACTTAATGAGACGATGTTAACCCACACGTCGGTAAATCTTAGTTATATAAAACGATTGTGTCATGATCTCCTAAAGCCGGATACGGATGCCTCTCCCATCATCACGGAGATATTGTGTATACAATTATTCCAGACGAGTATATCCAGTCATGTGAAAAACACCTAACTCGTATTTACCCAACAGTGACTTAAATTAAATCTCTATATAATATTGATTTACCTGTGAAGTTTCTTTCCGACATAAGAATTGTTGTCTCGATATTAAAAAATACCATGGAATCAACTCTTACCCCAGCCTACAGTTTAATACATATATACAACCTTCAGGGATTTCTTTGTATAACGTTATTTACATAATGTTGATGATCAGGCAATTCACATGGTGACTGTCCCTCAGGGTTTAATGGTGTCATGATATATGTTAAGGAATAAACAAAACATTTAAATTACTGTCTTCGTAGACTAGGGTTAAGATCTGCTGACCTCACAATATAAACAATGGCAGCTAAATGAAAAGCGTACAACTTCACGCATGTTCACAGTTTGACACAAATATCTTTTGAACCAACCCCCTGAGTACAACTCATTTGCTGTGAACACCCCTCAGTAACAAAAATTTGAATGTACGAAGATATTGATACGTTGAAGATAAGTGTAGAGTTAACGAAAGCTGTAGGAAAAACGTATATCTAAGAAATTTACTTACGCTCTTATACATTTTCATTCCAAGAAGGAAGTAAATCTCCTCATTCGTACAAGTTATGTCATTTTAAATGAATTGTTGACGATATGGACATCAAATGATGTCGTATATTTTAATAAACAATTCTATACTCACCAGGTATCCGGTGTTATGGTCATGGGACATCTAAAATAAGTATAATCCAGGAATTATAAAGTCAGAAAAAAAACTGGCACACATAGACTCTGATTCGCTAAATTTTGTAACGAGGAAGTTTATTTGTATGGCCATCTATATAACAGTGTGTGTATTGGTGTTTAGATAACGTAATACCACTGAATGTATACGTACACGTGTACACATTTCTTGCACGAGTAAACGTGTCGTACAGTCACTGGTAGGAACAGTTCACGGTGTAAAAAAATGTTTGTACAATGACCGCTGCGTCACTTCCTAAAAAATATTTTTTTACATAAAACCCTTTGTTTATAAATTGATCCCTGCGTCACCTCGTAAAAAACATCTTTAATATATAAAACCCTTTGTTTAAAAATTAATCGCTGCGCCACCTCGTAAAAAACATTTTTGTATAAAAAGAAGACTTCGCATTATTTAATGGTGTAGTTTTCAAAGTGTAAACATCAATGTAGTAGTTATAGTTCTTGCGATGTTTTTCGATATATAAAGAGAAAATACAACAACTGCAGCCAAGAAAATTAAACATTCTAGTTGAGCAAATTACATGAAACATAAACAATTAAAAGAACAAACGTAATTAAAATTAATATCTTAATATATGACTGCCACATAAACTGTGAGAGCGAAATAGGCAGCAAATTTGTAGGTACCTGGTGGTATGATGAAAAAGTATAACCGATTTCATAATCTATATCTAGAAAGCTACGTATATTGTAAAGATGTTTTCTTTCTATAGGGAAGAATTGATATTTTTTATGTTCGGTTTTGTTTGTCCGCTTATTATCTAATTGTTTTGTTTTTTGGATTGTTCAGCTTTTCGCCGTTCAAACAAAAATGTGTAGGCATAATTCATTAAAGTCAAGAAAGGGGCTTTTCTTTTCTCTATTCAGCTTAATTTTTATATTAATTTTAATAATAATAATAATAATAATAATAATAATAATTGTTCACAGGTTAATTCAATCCCAGAAAAAAAACTAAAACGAAAATATCTTGAAAGCAACCACCGTTATAAACAGAAAACAAAAATAAAAGAACAACACCAACATGTCAGCATTATCATAATCCAAAATCACATTCCAGGAATCTAAGGCAAAAAATGAACAAAAGAAAGATTTACACGGAGACTCATAAAAAAAGTACAGGGTGTTTCGGAACAATAAACGTCTTCTATTTCATTGACCAGCTATGAAACCTATGTCAATTCAAGTAAGTAATGTCACGTTTTTTTTAGTGAAAACAGGGTAAACATCAACGGAACCAACAGGCAAACCGGCGAATATCAAACATGTCCAGCTTCGTATCGCACAAAGAAACAGATTTTTTGCCAATGAGATCACTATGGCAACCTTAAAACTTTCCAACACTTTTCATCAACCTGCATCTTTTGAAATCCTGTGTTACGAGTTTGTCAGTCGACGATGTCTTGCACGAAGATCGCGATGATGGGAACAGACCCTTGAATATCGAATCAACCGCGATACGTGAACACCATAATAAAAATTCCAATACCAGCAAATCATCTGTACACACAAGAAAAAGACAAATTAGGAGAGGAGTCGGACTTCAAATGTATGGCATGCTTCATTTATTTTTCATTTTTCAACAAAAAAAAAAAAAAAAAAAGAAATCATTTCCGGTGGATGGGTTTGGTAGAAGGAATCCATTGCCATTGTCCTATTGAGAAGTGTTTCATCTTCGTAGACATTTTTTGTAGAGACATGCTGCTTATGCTAGAACGCCTAGCGTGCTTTCTGCTTACTGATGTAAGGAACATAATGTATAAACAAATCATACGAAATGTTGACTGGTTCGCTTTTGAAATACAAATTATCTAATCAATGGTTCCTAGGAACATTTCTTACATTGTATCCTAACAGTATCCCGAAGCTTGCATTCTAAATCGCGACTATTACCCAGACTCGTATCTGACAATATGTTACAGAGGGCGTGTTCCGGCACAGACGGAGTTTACGGTCATCAACATTCGTCAAGTTATTCTCCTCAGCTAACAAAACTGTTTTTAGAAGCGATTTTCATTCGAATGAAATGTTGTTGACAAGAAATGAACAGGGTTATTATTGTCAAATATACGGAACTTACTTGTGGTTAAGCGAGGTATCCTTACTCGTCTTGAATAATTCTTTTTTATCATTTGCATCATCTTGGATCCAATCATCCAGCAAAAGACATAAAAGGCCTGAATCCCTCGCTTGGCATTAGCTGAAAAAAATCCATAGTAAAGGGACAAACAATCAAAGGTGTCTATCTACTTCCCTTTGGCTACTTTCCCTCTGCTCCATGGAGGTGAGCGTAAACATTTATGTAATATTCTACTTCACCCAAGAATTCTTCATACTAAATCGGATTCTACAAAAGAGGAGGGATTATAATTTATTATATTTCGCTAACGGACCGGCCTCACTGTCCAAGAGGGCCGAGACCCACCGTTTATATAAATTTAATTCTTTCATTCGAAGATACTTCAGACTAAACTCGAAAAATCCGGTCATTTCTACAGAATATTAATTGTTTTTAATGCTCTGTTTCCCCTGTACAGAAGATTTTAAATAATTTGCTCTTATTCCATTACTGGAACCCATCCCTCCTACCCTGGGTCCGACACCGGTCACTTATCATAACATTTATTTTCATTCATTCATAACAGAATGCTTCAGACCAAATTTGGGCGGAATCCGGACATGTCCATCTTGCCCCAGGAGCCAGAGAGCAAACAAAATTGATCTCCTTTCAAGATCAAACTGGGGCAGATTCCGGGGCATTTCTACCGAAGAGCTTTTGAATTTGCTCTATTTCCCTTACTTGGCCCTGCCCTTCTTGCCCTAGGGGCCAAGACCCAAAGTTGTATTTCCTCTCATCATAAAACACTTCAGACAGAATCCTGACAATCCCTCCGACCAGGTGAGCTCAAAAGATATCATGCGCTTTGAGAACACTGACATAAAAGATATGGAGAAAGCAATTAGGAAGAAAAGGAAGGGAACACGGGCTTTAGGGGAAAGTTGCATTGTCAAAGAGAAAAAGGAGGATGTATATGAAAATAAGGGTCAAATGCACGGAAAGAAGAAAATCCCGATTTAGGAGTTAGCTTGTTTAACATTTGGACACCAGAAGACTTTTTCTAAAAACCTGAAAGTGTTGGAGAAAGGAGACATCCAAATATAACAGCTTGGATTCGAACATAGATAGAAAAAGGAGAACAGAAGGTTAGCAGATAGGAGACTTCGTGAGAATTACCAAATCCTCCAGATCATTTTCAAGTTATCAGACATTTTTAGATCCTACAAAAGAGAGTAGAATCCAGTTCGTAACAAGATATGTCATAACTGTGGAGAGAATGACATTTGTCAAAACTTGCCTTGTCAAAAAGTCTCCACAACTGAGAATTGATAACCCTCTCTCAACGAGCAAGGGACGAGGCCAGTTCCGGTACCCATTGCCCTCTGCAACATCCGTCCCATTTTAGTTTATCTGAATGACGTCATTGGCCTTTGCTAGGATTTATAGATGACGTGAAAATTCAGTTGAAGACTTTCAGAGGTTCAAACAAGGTCAACAAAATAAAACCGCCCACTTGTAACCTTTTCACAAAAAAAGGAAACTAGTGATAAAATAGTATCTGCCGTATATCAGTCCTAAATGAATCATCTTTATACAGAAACCCAGACCAAAAATTAGTTGAAATCCTTTAGTGGGTTCGATGGGATTCGCAGAAGCTAGCTTGTTCTTTCAATCAGCTGACTGGATGAACAGAGTACAATACCGCCGTTGAGAGAGTAAACGTTGTGTTTGTGTGTAATGCATTACCCCTTCTCATCCCATGGACAGGAAAAGGTTGTTTATCCGTGACAAAAATCAAAATGTTTAAGGTTTAGGCTAACACCAGGAAAGGAAAATAGAATTACTGATACCACAAGGAAATTATTGCTGGCTAAAGTGACAGTCACCTGAAAATTCTAACTTGCCTAGGTCATCCAGTCGTCTAATCCAACCTCTATCCCAAACGGTTTACTGAAAAAAATAAAAATACTTCGAAAATGTAAATCCTGATGAACGATTCGAATGCAACTTGGACGTCACTCATAGCGTTGCAGATGACTTTTTAAAAAAATTTTAACAGTTCTGTTGTAAGAAGGACCGGTACAGCCATTCTTTCCTTTGATATTTACAACTCTGGTTAAAGATTGTTTTATCAGGTATTAACATTTTATCTTATTTACATAAAATCAGCCAAGCACCAGGTTTTGTGTACCATCAGTTTAACTTTCTTAACACGCAATCATATAAATTGCGTATTCAAACATTAATCGACCGGTTATCGCCGCGTTCGGTGTGTATTCGGACTATTTCTACCGGAATTCTGGTCCTGTTTTAAATATTTGTGTTATCGTGATGAATGAATTATTCATGTAGAAAATAACGTTTAAGATTTCATTTTCAAATTTTGCTTACATTAAGGTAACTTGCCACCGGGCACTTCGTTGCAGTTACAAAGAGTTGAACAAAGCTGTCCTTATATTTACATTTGATAACCATTGTTGTCTTTTCCTTATACAAGTCATTGGAACATCGGTGAGTGCAATACATCAGTCGTAACGCTGCTGATCTGTCTACAGACGACAAGCGAAAACAAACAAATTCTAAGACTTTTCGATTAATATTTCTACCCATTCTTTATGTGATATCAAATCGGACAGCTACATGCTATAGATACCGCGACGAGACGCTTATCAGCTAATTGTGAGATCGAGAAAGTCTCAACGAAAAAAGGCAAAGAAAATACCGACATTTAACAAAATATTATACTTAAACTGGATGAAACAATTGAAAAATATAGGCAAGATATTTCAGAAGGGTAAACGTGATATTAGTGAAATTTAGAAGAAGTCATGTGATATCAAATCAACTGCGACATATGAACATCATGGGTTGGGGAAGCAGGGATGTTGATAGAACAGAAATACAACACAACCAGTGGATTAGAATTGTGTTATAGGAACTTCTATCCCATAATTCCATTTCT